AAGTGACAATGCATCACTGTGGTGTTCCTCTGTAGTGCATAGAAGCAAAATCACTTTAGGGAATGTGTGGACAACACTGACTCTAGCATGATCAGCATTTTTTTTTTTTTTTTGAGTGGTGAAACGATGAGCCAAGGCCAAGGCGCCTGAAGCCCGTTTAACCGCAAAATGTGGGGCAGTTGACCTTTTATGTCTTAAGAAGTCTCTCTTCCTGTGGATAACCTGAGTAGACGCCCAACTGAGACCATTACAGTGCCTTGAACTGTAGTTTAAATTGACGTACAACCTACAGACGACGTTCTAGTCAACCACCTGCAGAACTATCGTCTGACCGTGACAGTTGGCAGCCGGTCGATAGGGGGCGCTAAGGTGCCACCCTCCCTTACGTGAAAGGGGAGGACGGCTTATAAAGGCGACCTATTAAGACTTTTAAATATTGTATTAGCGAGTTTTCCTTTATAGCGTGTGCCTAAAAATTACAACTTTTCCACAAACTGACTTTCTTTTAATGAGCTTTCCTCGTCAGACTCTTGTCAATTCTTTTCTGGGGCGAAGCTGATGGCGGCCGAGAAGAAGAGAAGCTAAGTAGCCAATCGTGTGTTGTTGCTATGGTAGAATAATAAACATTTGACCAATCAGCATCTCTGAATTCAATGTCTTTATGCCGCTTAACAGGAAAGTTTTGCGTCGCCATGGTGATAAAGTTGATAGCGGTGACAACGGCAGTTGAATTCTCCACTTTGAATGACAGAGCAGCGCTTCCCAGATGGCTGGCAACACTCTCTCTATGGCCCTGGATGGTAAGCTACGGTTTCTGTTCCTCTACGCGTTTTGTTAGTTTTTAGCTACTGTACTGTTTGGTTGTTTACTTTTTCTGTTTCAGCTGCTGTCATTTATTCTATGCTGATAATCAGTTATGAATGTTACTCGTTTATCTGATGAACCACAGCAATGCTAACCAAAGCACTTTGCTCTGGCTATCAAAATGCTAATGCTGCTCTGAATAAATGTTGCTAAGATTTCTGAAAAAAAAA